CTCAAGGCCAGGTTGGATGGGGCTTGGTGCAAGCTGGGCTAGTGGAAGGTGTCCCTTCCATGGCAGGGGATTGGAATTGGATAAGCTTTAAGGTTCCTTCAATCCAAACCATTCTGTGATTCTATCATTTAGCAAGTTCAAAATCTACTTCATAGATCCCACTACAAGACTACATACACAGATACATAAAAGATTAACAGTGTAAGGCAAAACGTCAGCTTTCCCTGCCCCAGCAGCATATTCCACACAAGCCTGCCTTTCTGTGCCATATTGTTCCTCATTAAATCTCCATTAGGGATGGCTGGTGGATTGGTCATCAGCTATAATGTGCCAAGTTTACCAGCTGGGAAACAGAAGTCCAGAGGAAAAAAAATGCACTTATTCAAGGTTGCAGACTGACCTACTCCAGTTTGTGTAGTAAGGATCTCAGTTATAAAACAAATAGTTTTATGCTAAATATAGTTAAGGAGCAGCCTTTAATCACCAGGATAGGCTTCACACAGAGGGCTGACAGAAGCTACCAAGGTAATATAGCACACAATATACAACAGTCAAATATGAGGCTAAAACGCCCATTAAACACATCTCATGACATAAAGACCTCTCCGCATCTTCCAGGAGAGGCCTCTTTCCAGGGAGGTTTGTTCTCCATCCAGGGGATGTGCTTGTAGGTCATGAATGGGAGGGATGCAAGGGATGGGAAGTGCTGTTTGTTTCACCAGGCAGCTGCTTTTTGTGCCTGTCAGGATGGCTGAAAAGTTTCCAGCACTAATTGGCGGACACGGAAGTTTTCAGAGCATGATGCAACAGATAATGGGGGAGGAATATGTCAAAGGAAGAAAAAGAACAGACCAGCCAGAGAAAGCCTTTGCTGGTGCCTATGCCAGAAGCTGGTGCCTCACTTTGGAAGCCTTCCCCTGCCCCGCCAGAGGATGTGCTGCCAAAGAAGTTCACACTGCAGAAGAAATTGTGTTGCTTTTGTCAATGAAACACCTTTGTACTGGTCCTTTGTACAGTAACAGGCAGATATACAAAGCCATTAACGACAACAAACAAAACAAAGGGGAAGACACACATGCTCTGCAGTCGTAACTGAGCTAGACTGGCAGGGAGGCCAGAGAAAAACCCTCATTGCCCACATTATTCCTTAAGAATAAAAATCTTCAAACCTCTGTCCTGAATTACAAGGACGAAGATGAACCTAACCTGGGACAGATGATCTCTTGGAAGCCTCTGTCATTCCAATTTGTTGTGAAGCCCTTCCAGCATAACCAACATCTTTGCAGTCTTTACTACACCACTGCAAACAAAACAGAATTCATTTTGAGCTACAGCTCTGGCCCAAGCAATGCAACTCTCTTTATATTATCTTCTTAAAAGGAACTACATGAGGGAGCACAGGGAAGGGATTGAAAAACACCAAGAAGTGATTAAAAAGTTCCAGCATCCACAGAGCATTTAATTCACAGACCTCAAAGGAGGTCAGAGCTGCAACACCCATTTGGAGAGAAAGAAACAGAGAGAAAACAGATTTTTCCCAAGATTACTTAAGGAACAGCAGCAGAGATGAAGAGCTGCTCAACTCTATTAGGCACCACTGAACATCCAGCCCACCAAAGGACTTGGGAAATCTTTCTGTAGTGTTTACTTTATAGACACAGAGTACAAATACTTTCCAAGAGGAAGCATTTGGCTTTCCCAGGCACAAATGGAGCTATCAAGGGAGTCAATGGCAGAGTTCAGAACATTAACTCCCAAAATAAACCAAACAAGAACCTCAGACTTCCTTTGTGCTTCAGGGAGATGGGACCTCACAGCTGGCTCAGAGTCCACAGAAGGGCATTCCACTGTCTGTGTGTGTTTCTCTACAACTGTGCAGGTGGGAAAACACCAGCATAATAAATCACTGAAAGGGAAGGCTCACCTAATTTCAGTGCCAAGTCAGCATCATATTTTATTCCATCATGGAATCATCTCACAGAATGATTTGGGTTGGAAGGGGCCTTGAAAGTCATCTAGTTCCAACCATGGGCTGAAGTAAAGTAAGTTAAACCATGACAACAATATGTTACAATGTTTTGTTCCATTTCTTCATTTCATTAGTCTTTCTGCTTACACTGTCTCTCAAACAACCATGCCTATTGTATAGACAGTTCCACTCATTTAGAAGGAGGCAAGAAAAACCACGCCACTGCATGGGAATGATTTCCAAAAAGTCTGAAGCAGAACTATTGTGTTGTTTGTTTTTGTTTTACAGCATTTCTTCAGGATGTTTTTCAGGAGTAACAGTAACTATCAGTTTAAGGAGCCAGCCTCAAACTCACATGCAACAAAGTCATTTTTCCACTGGTAGCTACAGCAAGAGCTACTGCACAATCATATAAGAGTAAGAAATTAGATCCAGCTACAAGGAAAGTCAGTTTGCTTTGTCCTGTTTAGCACTGCAGCTCAACCACGTAACACAGCACGCAGGGTCCTCTCAGCGGAGCAAGGGGAAATGCTCCAGGAGCATGGTAGTACTGCAGAAAGAGACTTTGTATACATTGATGCACTGGCAGACTTCTCTGTTCTCCATCAGTATCAGCCACAGAGATAAAAGAGTTCCCTGGGAAGGCCAGCCACATGGAGAAGGCAAGATTAGAGTAGGACTCAGGAAGACCAAGTCCAATTCCTTTCTCTGACCTGAGCTTCTGGAGCAAGCTTAGCCGGTTTGTCACCTCAATTTATTAACTTACCTAATCTGGTCCGTTTAAAAAACTGACCAGTAAAGCCCCAGTCTTGCTAGAGTCTGACATCACCAATACCATGAGCCAAGGTGCTCTCCCAACAAGACCTGAAATTCTACTGTAAATATCACAAGAACGGCGATAAGAGAACCACAGCCAGAAATTGTTGGTTGTTTTTAACTAGGCAATTGAGCAGAAGGGGGAAAATATGCCTTCCTGCCTCATATCAGCAACTTTCTCGGTTGTTCTTGTGCTCAGACCCCTTGCAAGATAGAGGGGGAAATGGGGTTCAAGGTATTTGTAAATGATGTTTATGAAAAACATTTCTGTAAAAACCTACAGACATCTCTAAATTAGTGCATAGCAGTGTCTAATGTAGGTTAGCAACAAGCCACGTTCAGGTCTAGCTATCTGTACCTCATCTTTCCCAGAGCTTTAACATAGACCTTGCCATGCACTGTATACAGCCTGCAAAGCGGCACTGACACCCTGCATCTGGCAGATGGAACTTACTTTATATATTGTCTCTCATCCTCACCAGAATGATGACACCCCCCTTCCTCCTTTATTTCTCCTAAGTTTCATGGATAAAGGAGGCATTTTGATAAATAAAAACAGCAACCTCAGTCAGGAGGTAGAACCTGTGCTCTTACCATTTTAATCACCCAGTAACGGAAGGGAAGAACTGGCATGTGTACCCATACATAGCTGCATCGTTGACACTGGGAAATTCCCCTCTAGGTTCTTCATCATTTCTTCTGCCAGAGCAGAAGCACAAATGGGGAGAAAGAGGAAATATATCAGGAACTGCTGCTTGCTGGAGTAAATGATGGCAGCTTCCAAGGCTAGAGGCGGCAGGAAGCTGAGCAGAAGAGGAGCACATACCAATCCTCAGCCTCAGCAGACAACCCAGTTTATACTTAATCTTCAGAGCATCTCCTCAAACACACCAGTTTCCCCTTAAATGAAGGCAGGCCCCCCACACACATCAGTGCTCCTGAGGTGACAGACTAGTGCCAGCACAGCTTCTCTCTGATATGCCCATAATGGCTGGTGCCAAGGTTTTAACTTGGGGCTTGTCTCAGAGCTGAGCCTTTGAAGTCCTGTACTCTCAGTGATTTCTGGCAGGCACAGTGATAGATTTTCATGAGAACACAGCTGTTTGATGCAGACTCTCTCCATCCTAGCCCTGGCAGGCTGTAAGCGCAGGCAGGTAATGCCTTAAAATACCAAATCCTATATCCCAGGTTAAAAACAGGCAGCTGCAGCACATTTAAAGCATCACCTCTCCAGCAATGATGGGGCAGGACTGACCCGTGCTGATTAAAGGGGCCTTCCTGGAGCACTGCTAGGCAGAGGCTAAGGCAAACACACATGCCATGCACCCCAAATATATCTCAAATTGCAAGTCACCCTCAAGGAAACTCTTCTAGCCAGCAGTAACGGATGGGCTGGTGAAACTTGACATCCATTCCAGCAGGATGAGCTCCTGAGACAAGGTCTGCAGGCCTACAATACTGACAACCAACAGAGCAGCAAGTAACAGCCAGCACTGACACAGTGCTTTGTCTCCCAGCACTTCCCTAACGCTGCTGCAGCCTGCCTAGACACCCTGGAGATAACACACGCCTCTGCCTCCATCCCTGGATGCTTCCCCACACGGACCATTCACTGATTTGCACCAGGAGGTGCAAGAGGCACATCCCGTTCCATTCACCCTGCAAATGACAGCAGCCCAACACTGATGGGTTCTCCTCAGAAGCACATCTTGCTACAGACAAAACCCCATCAAATCCTGCAGTACGCAGCTGATGTTGATATCTGTATCACTGAAGAGCAACAACGCAGAGAGCAGACTAACCAGTCCAGCTTCCCGGAGACAAAAGAGAATTCTCCCCCGTTTCAAACCTAAACTCGCTCGGCCCCGAGCAATGGATGCTGCCACCCACCCTCAGCTCCATCTTCCCAGCGACAGGCCCTGCCGCTCCAGCGGCCCCGGCGGGTGTTCGTCACCGCAAGCACCCGGCGGCCAGGCTGCAGCTGCGGATGGGTATACGCGTGTGTGTACCCCCCGAGCCACCCGCTCCGTGCCGCGCTATACCCAGCCTCCGGCGCTGCTGCGGGGACCAGCGCGGCCGCAGCACCGCCCGCACCCACCTCAGGACGGTGCCTCCCGCCCCGCCCAAGGGCAATGCTCCACCACCTCCAAGCCCCCTCCCGGGAGCTCCGCGGACCCGCTCCCCGGCCGTCGCCCCTCCTTTGTTGCCTCCTTACCCTCGGGCAGCGGCTGGGGAGCCCCGCGCCGCCGCAGGCTGCAGCCGCTGGCGGGCGGCCGCCGGGACCCGCCCTGCACGGCTGAAGCGGGAGCGCGGCGGGAAGGCGGCGGCGAGGCTCGGCCCCTCCCTCTTTCCCTCCCTGCTGCCGGGCCGGGGCACGGCCGGGCCCTGCGACCCGCGCGAACAAAGGAGCCGCCCCGCGCTGAAATCCTTCTGGTTGCCGGTCCTCGGCGCCTGCCGGAAGCGGGGTGGGAGGGTGGGAAGGCACCGCGGAGGCGGCTCCCGGCCGCGGGTCTCAGCGTGAGAGCTTTAACATCAGAAATAACCGAGAAGCGCACCTTGTGCTCGGGCTCCCGGCTCCGCGACACTCGATCCGGAGAGCAGACGGTCTCGAAGCACACCTGAATTTACGCGGTAGCGGACTTGATTGATAGAAGGACAGGAGGAGATGGCAGTGCTTCCCGGAAGGAAGGAGAGCCCGATTACTAGGGATTTTCTGGGGAATGCAGCAAAGAGAAAGCACCCGCAGCCTTGGAAACTCATTCATTCAGAGCCAGGAAGGGTGGGCCCAGTTGATAATCATCACTTGTCCTTCACCACCCCTCTGTAAAGCCCAGAGCTGTAGCTGGGCTAACATTAGATGGGGATATAACGGAGCAGGGTCGGAGAATCACATAATTGTTTGGCTTGGAAAAGACCCTTAAGATCAAGTCCAACTGTTAACCCAGCATTGCCAAGTCCACCCCTAAACCATGTCCCCAAGCCCCATATCTACACATCTGTTAAATACCTCCAGGAATGGTGGTGACTCTACCACTGCCCTGCGCAGCCTGTTCCAATGCTTGAGCACCATTTGGTGAAGATATTGTTCCTAATATCCAATGAAAGCCTTCCGTGGTGCAGCTTAAGGCCATTTCCTCTTGCCCTGTCTCGGTACTTGGGAGAAGAGACAGACCCCCAGCTCATTCCACCCTTCTTTCAGACAGCTGTAGAGAGTGATAAGGTCCCCCCTGAGCCTTCTCCAGATTAAACCCCTCCAGGTCCCTCAACCATTCCCATCAGACTTGTGCTCCAGACTCTGCACCAGCTCCGTTGCCCATCTCTGGGGGCACTCCAGCACCTATCTATTGCCTGTGCCCTGAAATAGTATCTAATTCAGAGAGAGGTGGAAGTGCTTTGTACAAGGGCCACAATTCCATTTAGTGTACTTTACCAGCTCTATAGACCTCCACATCACCTGAGGGTCAGCTCGTCTTGTTTGGTTATCAGATGCTATGGGGAAGCCCTCAGGCAATGCAGTAATAGAGGAAGGTCCCACCTTGCACAGCTCCAAAACATGTTGCTGTGTGCTCTGTACACCCTGTGTAGGCCCAGGAAAGCACAGAAGAGGTGCAAGTGAAGGAGATGCAGGCAACAGTGCAGAGAACAAAGCTGAGGTCAAGTGAGCATCACCCAGAACAGGAGATTTGACAGCCCTGGCCTCAGCAAAGCAACCCACACCCAGGAGGCAGCTGCTGGCATCCTCATCTTGCAGAGGAGAAGCCAAAACAGAGAGAAGCAAATTGCCTTGTCCAAGTCAAAAATAGAACCTGAAGCACCTGCCTCTGACGCCTCTGCTTCAACTGTTAGTTCACTGTCTTTCCCTGACGTTTTCCCTACATCGAAGCTCCAGTCATTGCTTTCCAGTTCTGGAATCAAGCTATTTTGTCTCCTCTCTAATCTGTAGTTGCCTAGGGAGACAAGATGCCACCAGGAGAGCTAGAGGAGAAGGTGCCTATCAAATCAGGCTGGGACTCCAACAGGAGGTCTCACTTCCCCGTCCATCTTCACTCCTGGTTTTCCTGCTCTGCCAGGTTGTATCCTTGGGTCCAAGTTTCTTTCCTTATCAAAATGGTGATGGAGTGATGCGGTGGGTTCCAGAGAGACTAGCACGAAGCATTACATGCAGCCATGCATTTTGTAAGGAGGAGTGTGAATTTAAAGCTTTAATGTTTTCAGGTGCTTCAGGGTAGGATTTCAAACCACTCAGAAGTTAAACCTTCTCTTTTTTTCATCAATCGCACGATTTTATGCTGTACCTTACACATGCTAAATTGTTCTTATTACTAAAACTTCCATTTAATTGTTTTAATTTACAGCCCTGTGAAGGTCAGCACATCTGGGGGTATATTTTGCCTGCCAGTATCCCATGGTATGTGCAGCAGCTCATTGTTTCTCCATTTCAGCAGCACAAGTCTTGATGTTAAAAGCACTTGTGGTTTTCTGCTTTCAAACTCAGTCATCCCAAGGGCTCTGCGTATAAATAGTCATATATTGTAATGACCATTGTATTTTATGTTCCAGTAGTGACTCAGGGTGTCCTGCAATGCATTGTGTCAGGCATAGGATGCTTCCTGAAGAAGAGGCAGACCTGCACACCAAGGAGCCAGGATTCCCTCATGCTTGTGCATTCTGCAGCACTGATGCAAAACCAAAGGGAGAATTGAGCCCGCTGGTTTCAATAAGATGAAGCTAAAAAAATTTCACAACTCTTAAGTCATTTCCTTGAATCATTCTGACAAATCTGCCTCTCTGACTAAACCTTCTCAGGGGAAATTCCAGGGAGAGAAGGAAAGATTATCCAGTGCCAGAGCTCCCATAGTGATGTGAGTGAAGTACCTGTAGGCTTGAATTTGTGTCTTTGCCATCAAGTGCTCTCCCACAGAGCTATCCCTCAGCTTTTGTTGTACCTGCTTGTCTTGTTTTCCACAAACAAAGCTTCAGGATGAAAATAAATGTTGAAATCCCATCATTCAGCAAAGCAGCACTACTATTTAAAAAAAAACCCCACATTTATTTATTGCCTTCCAATACCTAAAGGGGCCAACAATACCTGAAAGGGACTTTTGACAAGGGCCTGTAAGGATAGGTCAAAGGGCAATGAATGGCTTTAAGCTGTAAGAGGGGAGATTTAGATTAGATATAAGGAAGTTCTTCCCTAGGAGGCATGGTGAGGCGCTGGCACAGGGTGCCCAGAGAAGCTGTGGCTGCCCAGTCCCTGGCAGTGTTCAAGGCCAGGTTGGACACAGGGGCTTGCAGCAACCTGCTGTAGTGGAATGTGACCCTCTCCATGGAAGGGGTTGGGACTGGATGGGCTTTGAGGTCCCTTCCAACCCAAACCATTCTGCGATCCACAGAACAACCCTGCACTGAAGACCCAAGACATGGAAAAGCACAGGGGACACTTAAGTGCCTATGAGGACTTGTTAATTTTACCCTGACTTTCACTGAAACCATTACATGTACAAAGCTGATGTGCAGTCTTTGACATTTCTGGGCTATCACATTTGCCCAATAAAGCTGTGACTATATACTACCCTCCTATCATATGCGATATGATATGTATCTTGTTTTGAAAAGTGGCTTCTCACAGATAGATAGTCAAAACTGTCTCCACTTGAGTGATGCATTATTTTGATTTTGTATTTGCATTAGCTATTGGGATCACTAAAAAGCTTCACAGCTGTTTTCTTTTAAATTATCCTGCAAACTGAAGCATTACATAAAGTAATGTGAAAAACAAGGGAATACTCACGCATGCATCTGGGGAAATGAAAAAGAGGAAACATTTTGTGTTTTGCTGTTATCTGTATTGTTTGAATAAAGAAAGCCAAAGCATTCCATTATCTTTCCATTTTATTATCCAACAGCAAAGAAGCTCCTCTCTCCAAAGAGCTGATGAGACACCTGATTTGCCACGTATCAATAGGCTATGATCCCTAAAGCCTCAATCCTTCACTTTTACCCCAAAGGTACCTTTTCAAAGGCCATATGAAGTGGTGACACCAGGACCTCAGAAGTCAACAAAAGCTTCGGAGTTGAATCCTTTCAGTCTTTTCCCTACCACATCCCTAGAAATCCCTGCCAAATCTATCCCTTTGCCCTGCCAATGTACCTGTGGGATTGGAGTGGTGGCAGAAGCAACTATATTTGAAAATACAGTGCACCTTCACTACTGTCAACTTTCAGTCCTGTGATTTCCATCATCTCAAAGGTGCAGCCGTAACAAGAGCCTAAGTTCTTACTGTTCATTCAAGCTGACTTGAATAAACAAGCCTTTATATATATAAATAGCCTGCTGCATTTGGTGGCAGAGCACAGAATTCCAGCATTGCTGGGAGAAACAAGATTAAAGCAGTGATTTAAAGAAAAGCTGGTTTTCCCCCTTTGATTACAGAGCTGCTGAAAAAACTTCTTATCTTGAGGACCAGTGACTGCTTAGGCCTCACCCGTTCTAGGCCAAGACTGAAGTTCAGAAACCTCATGTAAGCAGCTTTTAACTCATTATGGTTTTGCACAGTTGCAATGAGACAAGTGGTTCCTTGCTTTCAGGTATGTTATCCAGTCGAGAGCCACTGCAAAGCCTCTAATACCCAGTAGATTCTGTTGTATCTCCTTAGGTGAAACCTCTAATCTATCTTTAGACATCTGTATCCAAGCCAGCTGTCTAGACTTCCTATATAATGAGTTCAGAGGAACAGGCACTGGGGTGGAATTCCCTCATCACATTGCAGACATCTAAACTGGATTAATTGCTCTCTAACAACACTCACTTCCATCCATGAATTATAGGGGTAGTTGAGAATTAGGCCAAATGAGATGTTTAAAGTTAAGTGATATGTATTCCACTCATCTTCCTTTCAGAAATGCTCAGTGCAGCTGATGATGCTGATTTGGGTACATGTAGATCAGATGTGTGATGGGTACATTCTTGTCTAAAAGGCTGACTTTGTGCTGTTTCACTTGAAAGAAATGAGACTCTTGGCCAGGATTCAACACAGGCAAGATCTGGCTCCAGGACCCCTCAGGTAATCACACATGGCTTGTACAGTGTGATGGAAAGCGTTCTGAAGGAAGGCTTTTCTGCCTGGCTGACTGCTGTGAGTTCCTACACACTCGTTAACATAAAAGAAACTGTGGGTGGAAATATATTGAGGGATCATGGCAGTTCCCATTAATTATGAGGATCAAGAGGAGTTCTTACTGCTTTTTTAGTGTATTTCCTATACTGAAATTAGTGCATTAACTGTTACTTAAACTTCAGCCATCAGTATAATTTAATCATTAGCACAGTCTGGTTCCTGTTGTTCTACATTTTTCAAGTAACCTGCCTTGC